ATTTCCTGTAGTAAGGCCAAGTCAGTGAACCATGTGTAACTGCTTCCAGCTAGCTTTAGTCTACAGAGAAAATATTTTTCCTCAAAATATTATCATGTGTTACAGCTGTAGAGAAGAATACTGTTCACTTTGTGAACACACATTCATGAAATGTGACTGTATATATATGCATACAAAGTAAGTGTAGTAGCTTTCACAGGATGGAATCGCGCTGTCAGTATAATGTAAAGGCTTCAATAAGGCAGTGGGGTATGGCTGAAGCAATAAGTGGGGTTTCTTGCTGTATACTACTGAAACTTCCAGCAGTTCTTTAATCAAAAGAACAGGTCTAGATTTCATTAAGTAAATGAAATAGAACGTTTCTTTTAAGATCACTGCACAGGTGTTCATTATTAGAAGAAGTTGCAGCTCAGAGCCAAGTTTTCATCAAAGGCAAAAATGAAGGGAGCAAGCCAACCAGCCTGGCCCCCTCCCACAGAGCACCTTGAGACAACTCCTGTATTATGTCTGTGGTTTCTCACTCAGCAGTGACTGACAGGCTGTAGTATAGGTAATGAAAATATTATAGCAGACCATATAGTGTGTTTTCACAATGCTATCAGGAGCAATGATCTTACAAGCTGCTCACATTGCTTGCAGGGAATCTGTTTAATTTATCTGGCTGCCAGTTTCCTAGATGTGATAGCAGCAACAGCCCACTGATATCTGTCTTTCAATAAGAACCGAGCATTTTCTGCATGTCTCCTGCCTCCGAGCGTGTGGAAGTTTCTCAGGGTTTTGCAGTTACTGAGACACATTTTTAACAAGTCACTTTTAATGCAACATTTAAACTTTATGTTTTTAACGTGAACTTTACGTTCTGCTCCACAAAAGTAAGAACCGAATGTGATTTCATTAACTCTCTGGGTCTTATCCCGTAAGAGGATTGCTGAAGCAGTCAGTTCTACCTCTATACTTAAACTGGTCTGGTCTTAGAATCAGTGCTGGAGATAATTACAATACTTGGCATTTTAAATTATATGGGGTTGGTCCTCTCTAAATGAGACGTGTGATATTTGAAGTTTTTCTTTTCTTTTTTTTAATTCTAAGTAACTCGGAAAAACCACGTCTTACACATTCTATAGTGTAAGTATAAATGACATTTAACTTTCCTTAATGAAAGTAATTTAATAGAGGTTATTATACATTCTAAATGACCCCACTTGTCACTCTAATAATAAAAATATTTTCTCTTTTTAATTATTGAGTGCTGCTTGTGTCTCTTTACAATGTTAACTGCGTCTTTAGCCTCTAAGAATAACTTTGTGTAATGGCCGAGTGCTGCGCAAGTCAACATGAAGAAAAACAGAAGAGAAACTCTGTCTTTGAAAGATGATGATGAATGAAAATGGCTTGGGTTTCAGAGAAGGGAAACTGAGAAAGAAAGAAAGAAAGAAAGAAAGAAAGAAAGAAAGAAAGAAAGAAAGAAAGAAAGAAAGAAAAACAGGAGAAATGTTGTTCTATCATCGTCATCGATATGTTTCTGCATGTGGGCACTTGTGGCCACACACTGCAATGGGGGAGGGGTTCCCTTAAAGGCCAAATGAGGACAAGTGTGTGTGTATGTGTGTGTATGTGTGTGTGTGCACGCAGCTGTAGAGAACATATATAAGTGTGCAGCTCAATTCCTGTTTTTATGGGAAGCAGTAAAAAAGCCCTGTTATCCCCAAAGTGGCACAAGCTGTGACCTAATGCCACATCTAGTGAGCCACTACACACAGAGAGGGCTCAGCTACTGAACGAAGCCATTTAAATCTCAGCTTGATGGATATGCCGTCCTAAATTAAAACCATATGAAAGACTCTGATGGAAGATTATCCCGATCCAGATTATACAGAAACAGTGGAAGAAAACGATTCAATGCAATTAGATGTAATTTGAGAAACTGGAGCTAGGGCAGGACAGCTAATTAAAGGAGCACGAACCTGCGTTGTTTATGGGAAACTGTTGCACTTTGCGCCATGTGAAAAGCTGCTGCACGTGTTTAACCTGAAACAAAAGCACTGGCCTATATGAAATGTGGTGATTTAATCCTGCTTAAGGATGCAGTGACCGCACACCTACAGAAAGAACACACACAGAAACCACTGAGAAAAGTAATATGCACATTCTATGAGCTAAATCTCCCTAGGCCTGTAATTTCCTGGTCGCACGTGCTGAAAAAGAGACTCAAAAATACATCTTGACTGAGTTACAGTCTTATTCCTATCTGCCCTCCTCGTCTCACACGTTATCATAATTAACTCTGTCAACGTGAGGATGACAATGTGCTTACAGTTAGGGTCTTCCAGTATTTACTTTTTGCCCAGCAAATAAACGCAAACAGCTACTTCATGCTGGCAGGTTTGACATCAACCTATCCCAGTTACAAGAGCCTCAAGGATGTGAAACTCTCCCTGTGTTCAGAGAACGCTTTGGAAAAGCAGTATTCCCAAAAGACTGTTTTTTAAAAGCCGCTCCAGAGGTATGTGGAAAATAGTTTATCCCAGGTCGCTGGCTGTGAATGTGCCCTACAGAAGGAAATTTCCCTTCCAGAGAGTTCGGTGGTTTGTGCACAGTGTGTTCCAGCATAAATCATAGACTAATATATCTCTGAGAGAGATGGCTGTGCTCTGGCATTTGCTCAGTTTGGAAACGGTGGAATATTTACCCTTTTGAAAATGGCACTGCCAGATGTTGCATGAAATATGAAGCCCATAAAGTGCGATAAAAGCGTGTGAGATCAACAGATGGTAACTTTACAAGCTGCGAAAGCATAATATGATATACAGCTGGCCATGCGTGAAGTGAGATGACAGGCAGAGCAAACATGACAGTATAGAAAATAGGAAGAGTGAAAACAGGAAGTCTAGTCAGCATATATTCTCTTTAACCCCTACTACGTCACGCACTCAGAACCTCAGAGCACTTCACTTCACATTCACGCTTTCTGAATATGAAGTCTGCAACAGGATATGCTCCTCTGTATGATTATAACATTAGATTGTAATTATGGTATATATTTATGGAGTATAAAATGTACATTTTTAAACCCCACAAAGCAAAGCAACCACAGTTTAGTTAGACTAAGCAGGACATTTGGGAATGTCAAATGATAATGTTAAAAGCATTAGCTTGCATTATTAAAAGCCTAACTTCCAAGTTGCCCTGATGTGCCTCCACACCGGTAGTCATTTCTGATTACAGTCGAGCCCAAATGCCTCCTTCACGTTGTGCATGTGCACAGAAAATGTCAGTGTCAACCAAACTGGAATGCAAATGTGTGTGCAGGATGGTATCTGTGTGCGTTTTCACAACTGAGGTTAAACCCACGGTAAACATCCTGACCTCTGAATTTCACAAACTGCTTCCTGAATCTTGCGTTTTAATATCGTATGAAACACTTCATACAAACTGCATTGTAACACATACAATTAGCGTCCAACATGTTGCACCACCTAAAAGATGAAAAAGAAGAAAAAAACAGCAGTTTGGCTGCAGATGCACTATCGATTGCAAATGCTAAAATGTCTAAAGGAAGGAAGAATATGAGCAACTTCCTATATTTCTTTCTTGCAACACTCAAAGAATAAGTATGCAAAAAAAAAAAGGTGGGGGGCAACTTTGTCCTTTATGCAATCACAAAAACACACTGAAACTATTAGAAAGCACACAAAAACAGTTATTCATCTCATCCGAGGGAGCGTGGGGGAAGGCAGGCCTGCAAAGAATGTCAATTTTAGAAATGATAGATCTCCTGTTAACGAAGCAAATAACTGCAAGCACCGTAATTACAGTGCAACTGGAGCCATGCAAATAAACCATCAAGGCAAATTTGAATAAATTGCACCAGAGGAAGCACACTGTTTCATGCATTGTTTAGACATAATCTACTGTTCAGTTTATTTTGTATATAGTTCAATCGATCAATGCCAAATTCAGACAGCAGTCAAAACTATTTAAATATTAAGGTGTCTATTAGTGACACAGCATCTTGCAGATGTAGACATGATTACCTTCACAGACCTGTGAATGTATATGCAGTTTTTATTTACAGGGTATCATACAGGACTTAACTGTACTGCAGCAATATCAAAACAAATGGACAGAGGACGTCAGTTTACAAGTTGTATTTGGACAGAAAGGCATTAATCTGAGCCATTACACCTGTTCCTTGTAGCTTGGTTCAAACACAAACAGACACAGGATACGTTCACATCCTTCACTGTTCTGGATGCCTACAGCCTTTCGGTGGTTGCGCCAGGTTAGTGCAGTCCAGCTGGATCTGTCACCCTTCCTCACAGAAAAGCCTATAAATGGCTCTGGCACAGCAATAGAGCCTTTTCAAATGTACTGGATTCTCCAAAACAGCACAGCTTGACACACTAGTCAAAACTAATTTTCACTTGTAGGTTAGGCTGTGACAACTAATCTAACAAACTCAGACAGTGACATATAGCCATACTAATTCGGTGACTAATGTTGTGCCTTGGCAATACATTTTTGGTAAGGGAAATGGGAAATTTCGCTCCGCCAAAATACAGAAACCAGCTTTCCTTCTGAGGAAACTCTCCTTGTCGAGCGGTAAAGGAGTCTCGAGCCGGTGTCTTGAAGCGGACGGTGAATTGAAAACTTAAAGATGGCCTAACAGCACCATCTAGTGGAGAAATCCGACAGGGACGTTTTTACGAGTAAGGCAACCTGCAGAGCCAAACCTCTAGGATGTATATAGATGTTTTAGGCTGTGAATAGAAAGTTATTATCATTTTATCTATTTTTATTAAGATATATGAATAGCAACGAAGCTAGTTTGCTTCTTAATTATCTAACTGTTTATAGGTACGGTTAGTAAATGCCGAGGTTTATCACAAGTGAGACAACGCGAGCACGGCCACGAGGTGAGCTGCCATCGCCTGATGCGCGTGAGACAGTAGAGCCGATTCCCGCATGCGCAATGCGCTCTGGCTTCCCTACTTCCAGGAGATTGGGAGAAGAAGATGCGGCTGAGCGGCCGGCACGAACCGACTGCTTAACGAGCAAACCTTAGTCATAGGTTTCCACTTGCCTTTTCTTTTTTTAGTTTCTTGCCAAATTTGCTGCTTGATGTCGAATTTGAACAGGAGCAGCGAATGAACTGATAAGCTGTAAGGGCAGAAGAAGAAGAGGGGGAGCGAAACAGTTGCTGACAGGAGTTGGGCATCATATTGCCACCGGATGTCATTATACGCTTTTATATATCGAGGACGTAAGTAAATGCATCTTTAAAAACTACTGCATTAGTTTTAAGTGTTATTGTAATGCGGTTTTGAGTATACTTTGTTCCTGTGAGTTTATTATACATGAAAATTAAACATTTGAGCTTTAAATTTGGAGTTACTTAGAGAGGGGTCGACCCTTTTGTACACCAGAAATAATGTATTTAACGCTGGCGGATGAAGAATCTTTTAGTCACATTTCTATGGCTTGCAAGCTACAAAGAACTATAATATCAGCCCTCAGTGCCTTTCAGCTACCACCTGTTACCACCATCCGAATAAAGCTGACTGGAGTAAATCACTTGTTGTGGACCCCTTTTAAAATAAAAAGGGCAATCTGTTTATTCTTTTAAATCCCCATCATTGCAAAAATGACAATATCACTGCTGTGCAGTGTGCAGGTTGTATTGTCTGTTTTCCTTTCTTTCTTTATTTTTATTTTTTGCGTATGTCATAGCACATGTAGGCAGATAACCATCCGGCAGGCTGTCAAATGGTTGGCCATTTGTTCTTAGGCCTACATCTAAGCTCGTTGATCAATTGAATGTAAGCCTCTTGAGCGGTCAGGGCGAAACCTGCTGACACATGCGCCCCAGTCTTTTTGTTCTTGCACAGACCCGGTTAACCCTCTCTTATCTGATCTCCCTCCGCGGCCCTCTGCTGCTCAACTAAACCCTGGACCCTGGATTGGATGTGATGCATCCTGCAAATAAAGTTATCCTGATAAAGCTATGAGCAACTCTGTGCTCAACACTCAACACTTTCCTTCCACTGAGCGCTCACTGGTGGGCAGTAGTTACTGTACACTTGGCAATTAATTATTTAAAGGGCAGCTGATCTGACGCATAGGATTAATTATAGATTAATATAGAGACACCTGCTCCCAGCTCTCAAGTGGATAAAAAGGGTTCGTTATGTAATGCTGCCTTATCAATGGGGTGCAAATCGCCCTCTGCATTATTACTGTCTCATATGTGTGCGTTTTTTTTATTTGTGTGCCCATTATTACTCAGTATCCTCCATCCATTTTCCTGTAGTTATCTGTAACTGATGGGAGTGCCCAGCAATCATAATAATCAACTTCCTGTGGAGGTTTGTGGTGAATAGGTGACTAATGTGCACTTTCAATGGAGAAAAGAGTGAAAAGAAAAAACTTCACCATGCATTTATCATAACATGCATTTAACATATTATTTG